ATATATATATATATGGAAGCTTAGGCGATATTCCTTAATGACCCAAGAAGTTCAGTATGAGTGCCAAGGACAGGTGCAGTGATACTGTGGATGAGAAACAGCATGAATTACTGTTAGCAAATTTAACCAAAGGATTGAAGGACCTTAAAGAGACATTGAAAAAGTGGTTCTCAGTTCTCACAGATGGAATGAGACGGTATGAAGAATATGAGAATTCGCTTTGGAATGCAAGTACAGTACTTTTTCTGAGGGTCATCGGTATTTCTAGTTGTATCTAAGTTTAACTGCTACTTTCCCTTTGACATAGGAAGTTAGATGTGGGTTAGTAACCTTAATTCGGCTACGAATCAGAACCGTGATTTCTCTAGGGGCTCTCATTTAGTTGATTCTCCCTCCTTCAAAGTAATCTCAAATATTTTAAGAAGCTCCACAGTAAGATGCTCCAGAGTCAACTCTAGTAGCAGGTATGGTAACCAATCTATAAATCAACATTAGATGTAGCCCCTAAAGAGACAGAAAAGTGAAAGTCAGTATGTAGCACTGGGAGCTAGAACTAGTAATCTGCCGGAAAGTGCAGCAAGGAAGGCTAAAGGAAGTCTTGAAAAATATGGAGCATTATCTTTTGAATTAAGAGGTGATGTTTATGAGATTAAGTGATATAGGGCTTTTATTAAATTTATACTTACTTTGCTATGTCCTGGACTTAATGTAATTTTTCTCTTTTTTGTACCAAGGATTGAACTCAGGACCTTGTGCTTGAGAGGCAGGCGGTGGAACCACTGAGCTAAATTCCTGGCCCTTAATGTAATTTTTCTATTTAAAACTTCCAATTTTGATGATCTGGAAAATACAAAGCAATCTCACTGTAATTCAGTTAAAAATAAAGCTTTGTGAAGAAAAAGACAACATATACTAATCTCATGTAATATACCTCACCCTAAAATAGAGAATTCTACATTCTAGTTATGCTTTTCTTAGTATAAAAAAAGTGTCATAAGAGGTTTATAACTCCTAACCCTAAATGTAGTCAGCTCTCTGGAAATGAGCAATTTTTTGGCAACTAAGGAAGAATAGTTAAATATGAAACGAAACTATCCATGGGCTACCCCAGGATTTGGAGGTGGGCACCAAAGAGTGAGAATGCCTTGGAAGGAAGAGAGAATACATGGGCAGAGGTGGGAGTATGTATACCTGTAAATCTAGCTACTTGAGAGGCAGTTTGAGGGAAGCCTTGGCAACAGAATGAGATTGTCGCAAAAAATTATCCCCTCACTTTTGAAAAACTCAAGTTAGGGGAAGACTAACCATTTTCACTAATTGAAACTACCTCCTACTCATAACCACTTCCTATACTCTAGAATTCTGCACTTTGTCTCAACCGAGATTCTTTTATAGTCAGTCACTTACCTTGAAATCCTGTGCAATCTGTTTTTGCATCTTGACCATTTTATTATACTTGTTCTCCTGAGTACATCAATGCCTCTGCCCAAATCAATGTGTTTTACTTATTCTTTTCATCTTTCCTAGTCCCCTATTCTTTGAAAATACTTTCTTTTGCTTTCCATGATGGTACATGTTTCTTTCCTTCTATGTTTTTATTTAGTAAGAATCAGAGAAAACTGAAACAATAAGCAATACAAATATAAAAAAGTCTTTCCAATCCTTTTTTTGGGTACTAGGGATCAAACTCGGGTCCTTGCACTTGAGAGGTAGGCAGTGGCACCACTGAGCTAAATCCCCAGCTTCTTTCACATTCTCTCTTGTTCTATCCCCAACGATTAACGATTTGGTATAGATCCTCTCCAAACATTATTCTTTTATAAAATAATCATTAAAAATTAAATCACGTATACAGCATCTTGTATAGTTTTCACTGCCTATAATCTTGTAATTTTTCCATATTAATACCTGTAGAATCACATTTCTACCAGTATATTTTGTATTGTAAATGTAATTTTACTTAGCAACCCTTTACTAATGAAGTCAAGATTTTAAAAAAGTAAGTTGTGACTATATTACATATATCTGCACACTATTTTGAAGACTTTACAACCAGACACTTGCAGGTTCACAGGTAATATATTTTTTAAATTTTGACAAAGGTAGAGTTGGGATACACTATCATTTTTTTGTGTGTGTGTGTGGTACTAGGGATAGAACTCAGGACCTTGCACTTGTGAGGCAGACATGGTGACATGGTGCCACTCAGCTAAATCTGTGGCCTCTCTATCCTTTATGTTTTGTTCTTGGTGACTTTTGAGGACATGCTTTCATGACTATCAGTTTATTAAGGTTTTGTAACTCTTGAGCCAAGTTTTGAAATTGATATTTTTCTAGAAATTGTTTAATTTTCAAGATCAGCAAAAGGCTACATAATTCATTTTTTATTTACTAAGTCTCCTCATCTGTAATATGTTTCATTTGTTTCCAATTTGTGGGGGCAGTGAGACAGGGTCTCCCTATGTAGTCGTCTGGCCTTCAAATCACAGTGACCCTCCTGCCTCAGCCTAATAAGTGCTCAGATAACAGGTGTGCACCACCACACCCAGCTGTTTCCAATTTTTTCTCTACTTCCTTGGATTTGCTAAATGCTGTTCTTTTCAAATAGCAGATATTATTATGATCAATTTTATTATTTCATTGAGTTTTGCTTTTTTTTTCTGGTACAGGGAATCCAGTTTAGAACCTTGTGCTTGCCAGGCAGGTGTGGCATCACTGAGCTAAATCCCAGTAAAATTTTTGCTTTTACTTTGCATTCTTTTTAAATTTATTTTGCAGATGGGAAATTTAATTTTCTTTGCTTTTCTGCTTATTTGTTTCCTCTGATCTTTCCTGCCATGATGCCTCACGTGTGTCATGTGTTGCTTCATTCCCTCAGTAAGTTAACCCATTCTATATAGCAAAAATGCCTTTACCATTATTATAGAAGTGACTACAAACTGCATTAAGTTGAAGTCGGTCATAGTAGGTTCCAATTCCCCAACTCCTACTTATGTGATCTTGGTCAAATACGTACTGTTCATCTGTAAAAATAAAAACAGTAAAGATTAAGTTTGAAAGTATGCATTAATCATGTATCATAGAAACTGGTCTATTTTTGTCTTTTTTTTTTTTTTTTTCGGTACCATGGAAAGAACTTGGGTCCTTGTGCTTATGAGGCAAGATGGCAGAACCACTGAGCTAAATCACCACCCCAAGACTGGCCTATTTTATAACTCAATAAATATTATTAGTGCCTCAGTTGCTCCATTTCTAAAATTCACTTAGAATGAGTAATTAAAATTCCTTTCCAAAAGAGAAAAACTTTATTTTCAGCCTATCAGTTCATTCACTGGATAATTAACTGATAAACCTACTCACTGAGCTGCTCACACAATATCCAATAAGTCCTTCCCTTGAAATAAATATTTTAGTTGTTACAATGCCAAGATGAATAAATCAGAGTACCTACCTTCCAGAAGTTCCAAATCCTTAGAGGTGTGGTCAAGAGTGAGAATCAATTTTTAAATAGGTAACTACAATACAATGTGGTGACCTAATTAAGGCTGTGGAATTCTGATTTGACTGTGAAGAGCTTGTGCAGCAAAACCAAGAACCTAGGCTGGAATTCTAATTCAGGTACGTCAGTGCCAGGCTGATCTCATAAATTCAATGGCAGTTATTAACATTACAAAAGGCCAAGGCTGGGGACTTAGCGGTTCTGCAGCCTGCCTCACAAGTGCAAGGTCCCCAGTTCAAAACCCGGTAAAAAAAAATTACAAAAGGCTATGGTTAAAAAAAAGGCAACTTACTGTAACTCAATAGAAAAGAGGTAGCAGGGGAATTGCCTAAAAAAAACCCAGCACGCACGCAGAGTGGGGTGGGTTGCTCCTGGGAGGAATGGCTTATGCAAAGGTAGAGTGGCATGGAAAAGTATGTTTCCAGGACTTTAGTTTATTATTTCTGAAGGAAGATTTATGTGGCAGGATATAAAGGGTGGAGGAAAAAAAAAAGGGGGCTAAGGGGACCCCGGAGAACACAATTCCTACTACCTTCTGTATTTTCAGCTGCTAGCACAAAACGTGACACATTGTATTTGCAATAAATACTGAATTGGAAGAATATGTTACACATATTCTAGTAAGGTTGGGGAGAAAGATTTGGACCAAACTGTTTAAAGTGAAGAAACATTGGATTTGAAGTCAGCAGACCTGAAACAGTCTTTTGACCAATGATGTGTGTTTTTATCTCGTTTTACAACTTACCTCACGTTTGGTCTTAGCAAATTACTGATATCTTGAGTCTCGACCTGTAAAATGGGATAACCCCTAACAAATGATTATCAAAGAGCCTGGTACTAGTAACCACTCAATAATGATAGAGGGTGCAGCTGCTAACTTCTCTTTTAGGTCTTTTTCTATATTTGTAAAACGACAGGGCGAGAACAGATTTTCTTCCAAACAGCACTGAAAAAGTATACCAGGTTTGTCAAGGACGAAAAGGCCCCGCCCGGCCCGCGCCTCACAGGTCACCTACGCAGACTGCCGTCCTGGGGCCTCCTAGGTCCCTGAGCGATAGAGGGCGAGATCGATGACAGGCTGTTCCAGATACAGACCTGGATAGAATCTTGTGAGACGGTGCAACATCTCACAGAAAACCGGCCATACCAGAGTCCCACTGCTCTAGGGGAGAAGCCTTGAAAGAGGTGAAAGGAAAAGGAGGAAGCAGGATGTGACGTAACACACGAGGATCCGGAAATGACCAAAAGACGCCGGAAGTTTACTCGTTTCCAAGGCGACGGCTCCGCCGCCACTCCCTCCGGGTGGCTGGGGTTGGGGCACTGGAAAGCAATTTGGAGGACAGGATACCCCTCGACTGCGGCCGCCGCCACAGCGACTCGTCGGGAACTGTAAACGAAGACGGCGGCCGCCACATTAGCCACTGCGCGTGGAAGATAAACTGCCAGCACTGTCATCTCGGGGCTGAGTCCTGGGAAAGAGTTAGGGAAGACCACGGATATTTTCGCAGTTGGAACAGTGAAGGAAAACTTGAACACGGCGACCGCCGTTGCAGGGTTTCCCCAGAAAGAGTAAGTGAAAACATCGGTTTCTTCCGCAGGGACTCAAGAACTCCAGTCTGTGAAAACGTAGGCCACCCCTGCCGTGAATCTCACGTGAGAGTCTGGGGAGATGGTGGCCACCATCACAGCGGATCTTGGGTGAGGGTGAGGGGAGACCGCGGCTTCTGTAGCAGTGACGTGGATTTAAGTGAAGTCGGTGGCCCACAAACTAGCGACTCCGGGGAAACAGTCAGAGAAGACCTCGTCTTGCGACCCTCTGGCACTTGGGAAGGAGTCATTGAAGTCCAAGGCACCTCAACCAGTGACTGCGCGGACAGGGTCGGTGACGACCGCAGCTGCCGCCTCAGTGGTTCTTGGGAAGGAGACAGTGTCGATGGCAGCCCCTGCCACAGTAGTTCTTGGGACGGAGTAAGTGAAGACCGTGGCTACGAGGCCAGCGACTCCTCCGGAGTGAGCGTCATTGTAGACGCCAGCCGCCGCCTCTGTGGCTTCTGGGAGAGGGAGAGTGAAGAAGAAGGTTCTGACTCTTGGGAGAGAGCAAGAAGGGGGAACCGTGGCCCGCGTCCTAGGGACGACGACGAAGACAGCTGCTGTCGTTGCAGTGGCCCATGGGTTAATGTGAATGAAGACAGGCGCAGCAGCAAGGGCCTGGACTCAGCTCTGCTCACCATGCCTGAGGTGGCCAGTTCAGGCCCCGCCACTTCCTCTAGGGAGACTGCAAAGTCGTGTGAGTTGGACTGTTTTGTTGGCCCTTGTTTTGCCACACTCTTCTTCTCACTTCAGCCCACTTCGGCAAATGATCATCAGTATGCTAAGTGTTAGAAAAGACGGTAAAGTCCCTGTGATTCCAGTATGGGGTGAGGCTTTGAAATCCACATCTCTCCTCTGTGCTGCAGACTTATGTTTACATCTCCATTTTGGCCATCTTCAATGAGCCCTCCAAGATCACCCCACTTATCCAAAGTGTAATTTGTATTCATATGTCTTTCCTGTTCTGCAGAGTTTCGTTTGTCAATTAGTGGCACCGCAGCACTTCGGGGACTCAGAGAGCTTGGAATCATTGCATTACTCATATTTCAGCCATTATATCCATCCAAGTTCATTTCATCTTATTTCCTGTAATGTTCTGTTCCATTGCCTTGTCTCAGCTCCAGCTCTCAAACTTTCTGGTTTAGACTCTTCTGTCTTCTTGCTGACTTCCCTGTTTTGACTTTTGCTCCCCAGTCATAAATTTCCCTCTTTGCTAGGTCATATAGACCTAGTGTTCTAAGTCTGATTTTTATAACTCTTCTGTTTAACAATTCCTCAGTGATTCTCTGCTGTCCAATGAAGTCTGTTTTTATCTTCTTGTCATTTTTCTATTTTTTACAACTTCCACTATAGTCTGTAGTCCCTCTTTCCACTTCACACTTCAGCAATAGAATTTTTGTGTGGCTTTTTTGACCACATCCTGATGTTCATGCTGTTTTAGGATGCTTTTCGCTGCTTCCACCTTACTTGATCAATGCCTGCTGATACCTGAGGATTTATTTTAGAAATGTTACCTCCAGGTATATCTTTTTCTGTTTCCTTCCATTCTGCCCCAGCAGAGTTAGAAGTTATTTGTGCTTCTGCTGGGAGGGGTGGTACACACCTGTAATCTTAATACCCTGTAGGCTAAGGCAGGAGGAGATTGCCCTGAATTTGAGGCCATCCTGGATTACATAGTGAATTCAAACCCAGCCTAATTTACAGAGCAAAACCCTGTCTCAAAAAAAAATTATTTATGCTTCCATATGTTCTTATGACTATTTCTTTTACTGTTTTTACCATATTATTATAATTTGTATTTTCTTCTCCACTGATCTGTGAGTTCCTAAGGGTGGAGATCATGTATTATCTTTTTATCCTTATGGTAGATACCAAATCAATAAGGAGAGGGCCATAAAATTAGATGAACCCAAGTTATGGTAAGACATGGTGGTTTGGACTTTATTCTGTAGACTAACAGTGACTAATCAGTAGCAGTTTGGAATATAGGCCTGAAGTGACCAGTATGGTTGGTAAAACACTATAGATCTGGCTGTGTACTAGTTTAAAGGAAAAGAATAGAGGTCTGACCCAGAGGATTAATGTCATTAAACATTTATGAAGTGTATGTGCCTTCCTTGCTCCCCTTCCGATATACATATATTTTAATTGTTTTTTTGGGGTCTTGCTCATGTTTCCTTCCTTGTGATGTCTTTGATTTCTCCTTTTCCTTAAGTTTTTTTTTTTTTGGTACCGGGGATTGAACTTGGGTCCTTGCCCTTGAGAGGCATGCAGCGGAACCACTGAGCAAGCCCTGGCCCCCTCCTTTTCCTTAATTTTACGTACACTCCCTGAGGACATTGCTGTCAGTTGTTTTCTTCGGTTTTTTGAGACTGGGTCTTCTATGTAGTTCAGGCTGACCTTGAACTCACTGTGTGGTTTAGGCTAACTTCCATCTTGCAGTAATTCTCCACCTTCAGCCTCCCAAGAGCTGGGATTATAGGTCTGTGCCACCATACCCAGAAATTCTTTCTGTTGTATTTATCAAAATAGATACTAAAGTGTTGGTGGAAAGAAAATAATAAATCCATGTTATTTTCTGTTGTATTAACATAGTGCCAGGTACATAACTCAGGAAGGATTTTTGAATCATATATACTTTTTTGGTTTAAGAAATGATTTTAGTATAACATGATTCTAGGCTTTAAGAAATTAACATTTTTTCCCTGGTACTGGGGATCAGGACCTTGCTCTTGCCAGGCAGGCACAGTGCCACTACTGTGTTGCTGAGCTACATCTCCGGCTCAGCAATCATCGTTTTATTATGTTTTGTTTTGTTTAGTGAATGTTTGAATTGAACACCCTTTCTTGCTCCTTCAGTAATTGTTCATGCTCACATAGCTTACTGCTTTAGGTTCACAAGGCACATTAAAATATTTCACGAATACATGTCAGTAAGCTTGACAGTGTACTTCTGATGTTTATGACCTTGAATTATAATGGTTTTTGAAGGAATCCGACCACCGCCATCCTGATCTGAGACCCCTCCAAACCCGCTGCTCCTTAGCACAGCTCCACCTGGGAACTCACAACATGATGAGCCCTGCTACTGGTAGCAACCCTGACTCCCTGCTCATCCCCAGCTGTGCCCTCCGGCCTCCATTACCGCTGGTGCTCTCTCAAGCCTGTCTCGCTTGGAAGCCACAGTCCTCTCTCAATGAACTCCGCCTCTCCTGGTTACCTTGCAAAAAACTAGGTGACCGGCTGGTCCGATCTGCAGTGCCAGAGTGGTCCCTCTTGGGTTGTTTTGCAATAAGCCTGTCCTGTTGAGCTTGGGGAATGAATATGTGTGTATGTGTGTGTGTAGCAACCCTTCTGTCTCTCTGGGGAGCTATTCCTATTCCTCAATAAATTTTCCTACTCTCAAAAACTTTTAAAATACAAATCACTGGAGTATACGAACCAAAACATTACCTGCTATTCCTGTCTTATTATAAAACATATGAATTAGAATGAAAAGTATTGATAAACTACAATAAATATATATTATAGTCAGGCGTGGTGGCGCACGCCTGTAATTCCAGCTCTCAGGAGGCTGAGGCAGGAGGATCGCTGTGAGTTTGAGACCAGCCTAGGCTACACAGTGAGTTCCAGAGCAGTCTGAACTACATAGTGAGACCCTGTCTCAAAAAACAAAAACAAAAAACAAATGTAATTCGTAATTCCAGCTCTCAGGAGGCTGAGGCAGGAGGATCGCTGTGAGTTCGAGACCAGCCTAGGCTACACAGTGAGTTCCAGAGCAGTCTGAACTACATAGTGAGACCCTGTCTCAAAAAACAAAAACAAAAAACAAAACAAAACAAAATATATATTATAATGAATACACTGAGTGTATTATGAAATTGCTTCCCAAGACATGAGCTTTTATACCTTCATGGTGTTTTTAAAGGTAAAAATGTGTCAATATGTAGACTTTCCAAGACTGCAGGCCTCAGGACTTTCCTATTTTAGGTTGGTCATACTCAGCCTGGACAAGTAATCAGAATTACCATTCAGCACCATTACCAGTCAGGTGCTTCTATCATTTTATGGCTCCAGCAGCTCTTGCTCCAGGTAAGGTGAACTTGACAACATTTGTCTGTACTTGCCTGTCTCTCCAGATTTGGGATGGAAGGTGTGCCCAGAGACCTCAGTTCTTTGGTAAGTCTGAGAAAAGTTGTTTTTCAAATACATTGTTTTTTTTTTTCTTGTAAGTCTTCATGGGCTTTATATATCAGAGCTAAAACTAGAAGTCCGGTTCAGATGCTAATTGCAAACGTCTTTCTAGCAAATTATTTGACAATCAGATGTGATTTTGAGCTTTCTCTTAAATCATTTCTGCAGTCTTTTTTTCCTAGTTCTGTAATACATTAAGCAGTTTAATTTATCTATAGGTTCCAGGAAGAAGGTGCAACTTGGTAGCATCCACGATGCAGTACGAGCTGGAGATATAAAACAGCTTTCAGAGATAGTGGAAAGAGGAGCCAACATTAATGAAGTTGATGTTCTCCATAAATTTACTCCTTTACACTGGGCAGCACATTCTGGAAGTTTAGAGGTAAGAAGCTGTCCATTACTAAACTAACAAGTTTGCAGCTGCAAATATTTTTTCTTTTTAGTTCTTCCTAATATTTGGATGTTGTATTACCTTGGGCTTTGTTTTTGTTGTTGTT